CTATCAGAGGAGCGACGCTCGAGCATCAGAGACCTGGCACTCAGAGTGCGCAGAAGCAGGACCGTGTCCTTGGCCACACTTTCTCAGCTCCTGGGGAAGTTAATATCATGCATTGCAATAGTACTGTGGGCCCAGTTACACGCACAGGACCTTCAGTGGTTCCTGCTCCCGTATCAGAGATAGCACACCAGCACATCCAACCAATTGGTGTGCGTTCCTCATCAGGTGCGTCTCTCTCTAGGCTGGTGGGTTTCTTCGGCCATGCACAAGGGGACTCTATTCAAAGAGCCCAGTCGGGTCAGGGTGACCACGGACGCAAGTCTCTTCAGTTGGGGTGCACATCTCCAATCCCAGATGGCTCAGGGTCAGTGGTCACAGACAGACCTCAGGCACAGCATAAATTGGAGCTCAGAGCAATTCATCTAGCTCTCAAACATTTTCACACAACAATCAAGGGGAAACACGTACTAGTCCTAACGGACAACATGGCTGCAAAAGCCCACGTGAATCGTCAGGGGGGCACCCGGTCCAAGTCTCTCATGACAGAGGCTCGAGCCTTGAACTCCTGGGCAGAGAAACACCTGCTTTCCATCAGGGCCGAGCATATCTCGGGAGAGGCAAACAGGCAGGCAGACTTCCTCAGCAGACCACTAGTGGATCATTCGGAGTGGATGTTACATCCAGATGTCTTCCGGGAGATCTCGGACAGATTTGGTCGTCCGATAGTGGGCCTGTTCGCCTCGCCGGGGAATGCCCAGCTGCCCAGATTCTTTTCTCGGTTCCCCTCCCGGGGAGCAGAGCGGGTGGATGCCCTGTGTAGCCGGTGGCCGCAAGGCCTGTTGTACGCTTTCCCCCCACTACCTCTGCTTCCAGCAGTTATCAGAAAGATCCTGGAGGAGCAAGCGAAGGTGATCTTTGTAGCTCCTCACTGGCCCAGGAGGCCTTGGTTGCAGACTTGGTGGGCCTTTCAGTCTCAAACCCGTGGAGGATTCCTGACGACCGAATACGGTTGACACAGGGGGATCTTCAACATCCAGACCCCCAATGGCTTCAATTGACCACCTGGCATTTGAACGCCGCACCCTGACTAGGGAATCATATTTGGCGGAAGTGATAGATATGATCCAGGCGGCCAGGAGGCCGGCGACTAACCGTATTTACAACCATACGTGGAAGGGCTTTTGTCATTGGTGCGACAGGAATCAGGTGAGTTTGTCACAGGTAACCATTCCCAGGGTGCTAGAGTATTTGATGGCGTCAAAAAAGGGTTGGCGCCCAACACTATCCACAGACAGCTAGCAGCACTTTCCTCAGTGCTCTCGTGGGACTCATTAGAGTCCTTGTCCAGGCACCCCACAATACGGTCTTTCCTCAAGGGAGTCACTAATAGTAGGCCCCCTGTGATTCATAGATACCCTTCTTGGAGCTTACCTCGGGTTCTTCAGGCTTTGACTTCATCTCCCTTTGAACCTCTCAAAATGTGTTCCTTACGACACTTGTCTCTCAAGGTCTCCTTCCTGATTGCAATTACTTCAGCCAGGCGCATTTTGGAGTTAGCCGCCTTGTCAGTCAGGAAGGACCTGTGCAAGTTTCATGAGGACAGGGTGATTCTTTGCCTGGACCCTTCATTTATTCCAAAAGTCAGTATAGTTTTTCATAGGGCACAGGAGGTCATTCTTCCAGATTTTTGTCCTCACCCGTCACATGACATGGAACGGCAATGGCACACGCTTGATGTACGGAGAGCCTTGCGATGTTATATCAAGCGTACGGCACCTTTCCGTAAGTCGGAAGCTCTGTTTGTGTCCTTTCAGCCTTCTTCAATAGGTCAGAAGGTGTCAGCTTCCACCATAGGTAGATGGATTAGAGCCTGTATCACCAGCGCATATGTCTCACTGGCCCTACCTATTCCTCCTCATGTGACGGCTCACTCTACCCACAGTGCTGCCACTACTGCGGTGTGGGCGACCCAGGCATCCATTGAGGACATTTGCAGGGCAGTGACATGGTCATCACCTTCGCCTTTCATTAGGCATTACTGCTTGGACAAATTCACGTCGGCCGAAGCCGCTTTCGGTAGGCGTATTTTACAACAAGTAGTCACACCGTCTGGGGGTCCGGCCACAACTGACTCCTGCCCTTAGGGACTCCGGAAGCTTTGGTATGTCCCATTGGTGGATTCTTCCGTCATCATGTTGGAGAAGGAGCGTTGGCTTACCTGAACGCCTTTTCTCAACATGATGAGGAAGAATCCACGCCCTCCCGTTTATTAGTCAGTCAGGTCCGGGTTGAGTTTTTGTTCTTGTTTCTTTTCTTTGTTGCCTGCTTGAGAGTCATCACGTCGTACGGTTGTCATTGGCTACGCCGTCTATGAAAACTGGGAGGTCCCAGACAAAGAGGAGGCGTGACAACTTGACAACTTGGTCTGATTGGGCAGTAGGACTGAAATAACCCATTGGTGGATTCTTCCTCATCATGTTGAGAAAAGGCGTTCAGGTAAGCCAACGCTCCTTCCAGAAAAACATCTACTTCTGCTTCATTGACTATGCTAAAGCCTTTGATTGTGTGGATCACAACAAATTGTGGCAAATTCTTAAAGAGATGGGAGTACCAGACCATCTTATTTGTCTCTTGAGAAACCTATATGCGGGTCAAGAAGCAACAGTGAGAACTGGACACAGAACCACTGATTGGTTCAAAATTGGGAAAGGAGTCTGGCAAGGCTGTATACTGTCGCCCTGCCTATTTAACTTATATGCAGAGCACATCATGAGAAAGGCAGGGCTAGATGAATCAAAAATTGGAATTAAGATTGCAGGGAGAAATATCAACAACTTAAGATATGCAGATGATACCACTCTAATGGCAGAAAGCGAAGATGAACAAAAGAGCCTCTTGATGCGGGTGAAGAAGGAGAGTGCAAAAGTGGGCTTGAAACTCAACATTAAGAAGACCAAGATCATGGCATCCGGCCCTCTCAATTCCTGGCAAATAGATGGAGAAGAAATGGAGGTAGTGACAGATTTTATTTTCCTGGGCTCCAAGATCACCACAGATGGGGACTGCAGCCAAGAAATAAAAGACGCTTGCTCCTGGGGAGGAAAGCTATGGCAAATCTAGATAGCATATTAAAAAGCAGAGACATCACCCTGCCAACAAAAGTGCGTATAGTCAAAGCCATGGTTTTGCAAAGTATGGCTGTGAAAATATGGACCATAAGAAAGGCTGAGCGCCAAAGAATTGAGGCCTTTGAACTATGGTGCTGGAGAAGACTCCTGCGAGTCCCTTGGACTGCAAGGCGCTCAAACCGGTCAGTCCTAGAGGAGATCAACCCTGACTGCTCTTTATAAGGCCAGATCCTGAAGTTGAAACTCAAATACTTTGGCCACCTAATGAGAAGGAAGAATTCACTGGAGAAGAGCCTAATGCTGGGAAAAATTGAGGGCAATAGAAGAAGGGGACGACAGAGAATGAGGTGGCTGGATGGAGTCACTGAAGCAGTAGGCGTGAGCTTAAATGGACTCCAGACGATGGTAGAGACAGGAAGGCCTGGAGGAACGTTGTCCATGGAGTCGCGATGGGTCAGACACGACTTCGCAACTAACAACATGATTAAGGCTGGCGATTTTATCAACACCTCTATCTTACTAAAATATATATGTAAGCCTGTATTGACCAAGCCACGGATACCAGAGGTTTACTCATAAAGACTCTGGCATATACAAGATATAGAAATGTAAGTGGAGTAAATAATATAGCTAATGAATAAAATGAATCATAAATATGCTGTATGACAGTGGGAAATATGTAATAAACCTGAATGAAGAACATCTGATTTTTGTGAAGTAAAATTGATAAAATATATGCAAGGAAGTGAAGGTATAAATCTAATTATTAATGAATGAATTAAAATATGTACCACAAAATATAAATTGGTACCATCTAGATTGTGGAAGGTGCATTTGAAAATTGGTATCTTTAGGCTGATGATAGGTTTGCTCCAGTCTATGGTAAAAATGAAAGAAGTGAAAATGAATTTGGGAAAAATCATGTAATTTTCTGAATAAATGTGATCTAATGGTGGAACCTATTCTGCTGAATAATATGAAGAATGGATATTAGCAAGATGAAAGTACAGAAAAAGCAACTGGGCCATTCAGAGATTAGAGAATCAGAATTGTGAGTAATGAGTATCTGCATATAGAAAGGGCAGTTTGTTCTTAATATGTGACTCAAACAAGTTATTTATGTATCTACATGACAGATTGTTTATGGTTAAAATGTGAAAAAATTAGCAAAGAATACAATAGTGATGAAAGTTCTAAATATGGGACAGACTCTAACCTTTTGTTACTTTCTGACAAGCCAAGTCAATTGGAAAGCCAGATTCATTTAACTACTAACTCAACAACTGCAGTGATTCACTTAACAACTGTGCCAAGAAAGGTTGTAAAATGGAGCAAAACTCACTTAAGCAACAAATGTCCTGCTTATCAACAGAAATTTTGGGCTCAATTGTGGTCGTAGGTCAAGGAGTACCTGTATTTGTAAGATTTTTCTTCACTTTTTGTTTTGATATCAAGCAGGGCAGAAGGGATACAGGCCATGTGGGAATTTTATTTTCTGATATGATATTATTCTTTATTGTACATGTCTATGAATAACCAACCATTCAACTTTTGTTTATCAGCCTATTTTGCTGCCCAACTGAACAATGCACACACAATAGCTTGAAAGAACAGTATTGATATATTCCTCTTCCAGTTACAAAAGTCTAATAGTTATGTGCTTTATTTTAAATGTTTCTGTACAGAAGGATAGGTAGACAGGCAATTACCAAACTATAACAAAATTCTCATTTCCATAAGTATTTTCGTTTTTCTTTTTGCCTGATATGGCAACTGATCCTTCCATCTGCACATCTCCCTTCTATGAAGAGTTCTTAGATCTACGGTTCAGAGTTACCAGGAAAAAAACTCATTAATGACAACTCTATATTCCTAAACTGGTTTTCGTGCATATTTCCTGCGGTTTTTTTCATCCACTTGCTCCAAGTACCAGGTTCCTGGGAACAGGTCATCCTCGGATCCATGGGGAATGTGATCAACTATGGGAAGATAGAGCAACATCAGCATGAGTCAATATGAATCAATAAAAATCAATATGAAGAGTTAGTGTTGATATCTACACTTTTTCTCAAAGCAATGCTCACTTGTCTTCCTTCTACTACGTACATTTACATTTACAATTTTCCTTCAAAAGTCCAGCAGAGATTCCTGTGCATTCCATTCTGGTGTTCAGGGATGTGTAGTCTTTTTATTCTAGGCATACTTAGCAACACCGTGTTTCCACAAAAATATAAGACTGGGTCTTATATTCTTTTTTGGACCAAAAGACCCATTAGGTCTTATTTTCAGGGGATGTTTTATTTTGCAGCTGCCTGCCTGCTCCCTCCCACCATCTGCTTGCCTGTGACCACAATGGTTTACAGGGCTTCCCAGGGCAGATGCACTTCCCAGGGCAGACACACTTTTTGCCCAGACAGAGAAATGACAGAGACTGGAAGCTTCGTCTACTTGCTAATCACTCTGTTTCAAAATGCCCCATTTGCAAGCAGACAAAACTTCCAGTCTCCATCATTTCTCCGTCCAGGTGAAAAGTGTTCTGGTTCCCATGGGGTGCTTGGAAACGGAGAGATTTGCTCTGTTCCCCATAGATGCCCAAACACTTATCGCTCAGAGGGAGACTGGAAGCTTCATCTGCTTGCAAATAGGGCGCTTTGAAACAGAGCAATTTGTCCTGTTTCAAAGTGCTCCATTTGCAAATAGATGATGCTTCCAGTCTCCCTCTGGGCAAATAGTGTGTGGCAGAGCCAGGCAGATGCAGAGGCATAGGGGGAGGCAAGTGATCCAGACATGCTGTGCAACTACCTGGCTTGCATGATGGCACTGGCAGCAGATGGAGGCAGAGGTACAGGGGGGAAGCAAGCGATGCTGACACACCACCCACTCTGTCCTCCCGTCTCTCAGCTTGCCCACCACTGCACCAGAATTGCCTGCCTCCCCCACCCCCATTCCTTTGCCGCTGCCTGCTGCCAGTACCACCGCGCAAGCCTCCTGTGATTCAGGTGGCCGCGCAGCATGTCCGGATCACCTGCCTCCCCCCAGCCTCTGCCTTCACGCTTGGGCTGGGGCTACTGCTGGACACCATCTGCCCATGTGCACTTGCCACCTCTTGTGCTGGCCACGCCCATTCCCTGAGGCTTATTTTTGGGATAGAGCTTATATTAGGCCCACCCTAAAAAATCAGGATAGGGCTTACTTTTGGGGTGGGTCTTATTTTCGTGGAAACATGGTAGTAGGGGTCAGTGACTAAAACAAGGAAGAGTAGAAATGTTTGTATCTCATGGCATGGCATGGGCATGGGGTGTCATGGCATAGGAAATCAACATGGTCAGGGCAATCCCCAAATTATCATGCAGTATAGGATTCCTGTAGAGCAGAGATGTCCTCAAAAAAGAAATTCAGTGAATATTATCAACTTGAATAGACATGAGGATATAAGAAAAAAAAATCCAAGATTCCCCCACCCTGATTTTATTTAGTATATGAAGGGCAGAAAGAATCTCCTTCAGGTTTTCAAGATTCTGCTGAGTTCCAGAATTCTTGTTGACTGTTTCAGGACTTTTCTACCTCAAAGGATCAATAGTTTATTTAACATTTCAGCCACACCTTCTGAAAGTAGGGAGGTCAATAACCACTTTTGTGATGGTATTACAATAATTTTAAGGATTGAATGAATTCCCGAAGCATCTTCAAGTATTAAGGTACTGTTTTGCCCCTTCACTCTCCTCAATTCCAAAAATGGTTCCAAATTTTGAAAGCCAATCATTGGGGAGGGCAGCAATCTCCACAGATTACCACTTTTTTCATGAATATTTTGAGAGTGGACAGATGGATGGCATTGGTGTACACAAGACAAAACTAAGACTATGTTTTCTTAAGCTCACCTGAATTATGAGTATCTTCCCTGACTTTCAGGATCTCATTAAACTTTTCAGGAGAAACACATTTCCGGGAGTCTAAGCGAATCTCTAAATCTGAAAGGCTGTATACCAGTTTCTCCAGAGGGGAGCCTGAAACAAAACATCAGATACCTTTCAGTGAGAAAGCTAGTGCTATCTTGAGACACGACAACTTCATGCTCTGGTAGGACAGTGTTTCACCCTCTTACTCAGTGTTTTTCAACTGTCAGCTTTAAGATGGTTGAATTTTGGCTCCCAGAATTCCTCAGCTGGAGTTGAAGTTCACTCATCTTAAAATTGCTAAGGTTGATAAATGCTGATTTTGCACACAGTATGAATTGAAAAGTTTGTGTTAATGTGAGGTAATATGTTTAAAAATTGTGAACATAGCTAAAAAGTTACTCTTGGAACTGAAAAACAGATACAAATACAAATACAGTGAAATTGGTGGCTGCCTTAATACTTGCAAATAGGATAGAACTCTGGATCCATTACTTAGAGGAAGGCAGTGCTCTCTTGCTTGCTTGAGGCACCCACATTTTTGTTTTCATCTAATATTAGGCTAGCTCTAAGATGCTTTCCTTGAGGCCAAGCATGGAAGAGAGGTGTTTAAGTTGTGGCAGACAAATCTTCCTTACTTTTACTAAATTGTGAAGGGGTAGGCTATAGGAATTGCTGATGCATGCTTATCATTCCCATCTTCATGAAATCATTTGCATGCTCCTACTTTTGAACTCAGTTTCTAGTTCAGGGATGTATATAGGGACTGTTGGGAATTGTAACTATAGCAAGTAAGAAATATGATTTTGATGGAGATATACAGGATGCATTTTAGTATTAAGGTGCAGAGAGGTGAAAAATATTTTGTCTACAACAAACTGGTAGTATTTGTAAGCAGCTCAGATAGATAACTTCCTAATTCACTGAAGTATAAGAAAGGGAAGAAGGTACAACAATATCAGACTTACATGATTTCATTAGTGTAGCCAATCACAATAAAAGTAGTTTTAGTTATCCTATGGAGTTGATTTTTTTGGTCTGATCTGGTAGGGCTGATTGCAGCTCAACAACACTTGGAAAATCATTGTTCTCTCCTGTCCTCCCCACTCACTTGTCATTGCTTTAAATCAGGTTTTAGTTCTTATTTTGCTATGTGCAATATGTATGGACACTTGTTTAATATCCATATGCCTGGCTGTTTCTCCTCTATGCCATGAGTCACCACCTGCTTCCAAACTCTCATCCAATACCGGTACAAACATTCAGTTCAGGTCTAGATTGCCCTACAAATAAAGAAAGCATGCAAAATACCACTGGGTTGGATTTCCTAGGCTATATCCTGTTTTCCTTAGTCAAATGCAAATTTTCCTCTATACTCAGCCTTGCTGGTATGAGTTTTCCCACCCATTTTGTGCCTTCAGCCCTTTTTCAGTACAGTCCTTGGTCATGCAAAGGCTGCTCACTCACTCCTGCCATACCATATTTCTGCCCATGCATGAGAGACTTAAGGGCAGATAAATGTTTGAGGACTTCTAAAGTATTGTGGAGTTCAGGTTTATCTATTTGCATGACCGACAAACTGCATCAATGCAACATATGTTCTGTTTGGAATATGAACATGAGGCACATTCCTATGACCGAGGGAGAAGAGGGCTAAAAAGGCTATGTGTTGTGGATACCTATTGCATTGTAACTGTAGATTCCAATTGCTGCTGGGTTAGTTTACTTCATTTTCTGTCTGTGAGTGTTATAAATTCAATTTTCTTTTCCTGCTCATTAGATGCAGTCTTTTAAAAAAGAAAACAAATCTTTTTTATCAACCAATCTTTTGGAGAAACAGAAATTGAGGATACCCTTTCCCTCTTATCGTGCATTTTTTTTGCACATAATCAATTTCATAATCACGTTTTATTAAAGAACCAGTCTACTCAATTTTATAATCTTTTAGCTCCTTTACAAAGCAGATTAAAAACTCTGCAGCTTTCCCCCCTGCTTTTTTAAATAATATGTATTTAAAAAAATACATATTGTCTTCAGTGACTAGATGACTTCTATGATACCTTTAGAAGTTTCCTGCAATTTGATAACATACTATACTGCCAGAACATATCGGAAAAATGAGATTTTGAAAAGAAAAGCATCAGGAAAAGAGGTTGGTAGTGATGAATTATGTAATCCACCAATGCAATTTCGCTGTTGGAAAACAACATTATGCATGTCCCTCCTTGGGTTAATTCTCTCATTTTATTCAATAACCCTAAATCCAGAGATGAACCCAATATAGTTTTTATTCCTTTGTCATGAAAACAAAGAAAATTAGACAATATGTACATAAAATATTATTTCTGAAACACAGTCTTTAAATGGCTTAATTCATAAGCCCATTCCAGTAGGCCAAATGTGTGGGAAGAAATGAAAAAGATTTCCTAATCCACCCTAACAGACTTACCTGGAGTAAAGTTCTGGGATGCTTTCAGGGAAAACATGCTGGCAGCCAATCCTGAACCGTAGGAGAAAACCCCAATTCTGGATCCAGCCAGCTGCTTGGCAGAATACCTGCAAAAATGTAGAGTAAATAAAGTCCCAGGGGGAAAGACCATATTTTTTCCTCCAGTAGCTTGTTTATCTGCATATTGTGTTCCTATAAAACCATTTCTTTCTGAAGATGGCAATTATAAATTGTGCTAATTCGTGCTGACATGGATGGGATGCAAAAATGTCTGGAAATCTTGAGGCCTTGATGGGGATATTCACTTTCTAATTATACTTAAATCTATTTGTTTCTCTAGAAAGAACAAAATAATGGATAAAATACACATAGAATGTCAATAACAAAAGGATAAACGATTACTATAACTCCATTTCAAGCAAAAATTTAAACTACCCAGTTCTAAACAGAGAGCAATAAACTGCTAAATCTAAATATTTGACATTGCTGTGATTTTTTTAAAAAAGGAAAAAATAAATGTTGGATATAAATATATAAAAATATAAAATATAAATATAAAAATGTTTGGATAAAAAACTACTTCATATTGTAACAATATTAGGGACCACCAATATATCTGGATGCCTTAGCCCTAACACTTATTTAGAAGAATTCATTTTCTGCAGATTTTATTAAGCAAGAAAGCCATTTAATTATTTGTTACATAACATTTATAAATGCAGCATATTGAAGAATCGAAGGGAATCATATGTTCTCACTGACTCCTGGGATGTGAGATCAGACCTACAACTTACTGGGCCAAGAGGGATGCCAGGCAGCCATAGACTGATGGGGTATACATGTTGCCATTCCGGGCAGAAAGGAAGAGCGAGGGCTGCGTTTTCTGCTTGAACAGCTCCTGGCTGGCCTTCTGAAAAGTTCTGTCCACCTCCTTACTGGAATAGGTTTCTTCCAATTTCACATTGCTGAAAGAGAGCAAGGACATCTAGTTCCTTATGAGTGAATCAGACTATATAGATAATGTTAAGTCCGGAGAATAATGGCGCTTGACACGATGCATTTCTAACAGGTCTTTATTCTCTGCTTCCAATCTACGAACAACCCGAGCAGAGGCACGCAGGCCTCTATTTATACCTTCTGATCCCCGGGCAATTCCAACCAATCACAAGGCAGTCTTTTCTCGCTTTGCGCATGCGCGCAAGGCCGGCGCCGCTCAGTCTGGTCCCGGGCAGCTTTTGCAAATGCCCGGGACTCTTGCAACGTCCCGAGCCTGCTTTTGCAGGCTCAGGACAAAACACCCCTCCCCCCTAGATGAAATAATACTGTGCCCAACATGGACGCCACCATAGTAAGGTTTTGTGTTACCAACTGTTATATTAATGTCACAAGGTGTGTGTAAGGTGTGGGGCTGTTCCGTCGTACCTGGACCCAATGTGCCCCAACCTCGTTTCCACAGAGTCAACCAGTCTGGATCTCTAATTCAAGTTATTAATATATACATGCTCACCTTACGTAATCTGCAAGGTATTTTGGAGGGCCTTTGACCCTTAGCGACCTTCTTGGACCTGGGGAGCTTGTAGTGTTTTCCCAGTTGCTTCCCACACTAGGTGAATTACCCTGTGGTTGTCTCGTGACTTCTGTTTGACTTTCCTGCCCATATCCTAAGCTCGAGAAGTCAGGACTCTGCCGTTCACTATACCTGGTTGACCTACCACCTATGGAGCTTTCCAACCCCTCTGAACTCATCTCCATGTTTCCTGATGGAGTGTGGTTTTCCTGGCTCCTTTCTGTAGTGATAGGGTCTAGGGATACCTCCCTGTTAGCCCTAATGCGTGGGGACATCCTTCTTTGAGCCATCTCTGCAAAGGACGTGTCACCCCTTTGTTTTGCCTGCTCTCTTGTATGTTGTGAGTTGTGAGTATGCTCCCAGTCATTCTCCATGTCTGGAGTATTGTTTGTGAGGTGTGGATAGTTAGTATACCTCCGGTGGGACTCCCAGGCTGGAGTGTGTGGGGGGGTGTCTGTTTGCCCCCTGCCCCATGAATTTCTACTTGAATCTCCTGTGGAACGTGGGTGTTGAGTACCCGTGTCATCCCCCACAACCATCGTTGGCTGTTGATTCTGATTCCCAGAATGCATTTCCCATTCCTCCTCCCCCCCTAGAGGAGACTGAGGAGGAACCCTAGGCGAGTCCCGCCTCACACGTAGTTGATCAATGTGGCGGCGAAGAACGTGGCCGTCTTCCAGGGACATCTCGTAGGACAGAGGCCCTGAGACCTTGCAGACCAGAGCCGGGACCCAGAGGTGTCCAGGCCCGTAGTTCCTGGCCCAGACAGGATCACCTTCACGCAGGACCCATGGTGAGTGTGGCTGAGACACCTGTGAAGCTACACGCTCCGGATGCAGCCTGTCCAATTTAGTCACGAGCCGACGACCCCAATGGAGTTCGGCTGGGCACTTACCCGTGGCAGTGCATGGAGTAGTACGATGGGCTAGAAGAAAGTCAGCCAACCTGTGATGCCAATTGCCGTAAGTCAGCTTCTTGAGGGCGTCCTTGGCGACGCGGACCATCCGTTCAGCCAGACCGTTGGTGGAAGGATGGAAAGGAGCCGAAGCAGCGTGGCGGATCATGTTGGCCTGTAGAAACCCCTGAAACTCAGTAGAAGTAAATTGAGNCAGCCGTCAGATGGCTAAGTACAGCACCCACACCGTAGGGGGAAGCATCACAAGCCAGACACACTGGCAACTGCTCATTAAAATGAGCTAACACCGCATTGGATGTAAGCAAGGCCTTAACCTCATTGAAACTGGCCTCATGGACTTTGGTCCAATGCCAACAAGCATTTTTGTCTAGAAGCCTGTGCAAAGGTTCAGCAATAGCAGCTTTATGAGGTAGAAAAGCATGATAAAAGTTCAGTAACCCCAAAAAGGCTTGCAATTCGCCCTTAGACTTGGGGCTTGGAGCCTGCTGAATAGCTTTGAGCTTAGCATCAGACGGGTGTATACCCTGCGCATCTATCCTGAAACCCAGGAAATCAGTGGAATGCACACCAATCTTACATTTGTCCTGTTTTAATTTAAGGCCTGCTCTTCGGAAACGAAGCAAAACAGCCCTTAACCTCTCTGCCAGCATTTGTGGAGAGTCTCCTGCGATGAGAACGTCATCAAAATAAGGACACACACCAGGAATACCCCTCAGGGTGTTTTCCATTACACTCTGAAAAATGCCAGGAGCGACATTCACCCCAAACTGCAACCTTTTCACCTTGAAAGCCCCACGATGGGTGACAATAGTTTGGGCCTCTGCTGCTGCATCATCAACAGGCAGCTGTTGATATGCTTGAGCCAGATCAAGCTTAGCAAAAAAATTTCCCTTCTTGAGAGAAGCCAGAATGTGGCTCACTACAGGCACAGGATAAGCATGTTGCTGTAGTGCCTTGTTTAGTGTGCACTTGTAGTCAGCACAAATACGAATGTCCCCACTTGCCTTTAAAGGCATTACAATGGGAGTTTCCTACGGGCTAGAATCTACAGGCTCTAGAATGCCTTGCTGGAGCAGCTTGTCCAGTTCAGCATCAATCTTACCCTTAAGAGCAAATGGTACTCTCCTAGGTTTAACCCTAATGGGCTGTACAGCTGGATCTAGCTTTAGTGAAACTGGAGGTCCTTTGTAGGACCCTAGCTCAGAACTGAAAACATCTGCAAACTCCTTGCATACATCTGCAAGGGTCTCTGTTTGCAACTTGTGTAGCCCTGTTACTTATATTCCCAAGGCCTCAAACCAATCGAGTCCAATGAGACTCGTTCGCTCACCCCCCCACAACCAGCACGTCTAAGGGGCCTGAAAAATTCTTATACTGTACCTTAAGGGTGGCCTCCCCCTTAACGCACACTTGAGAATTTTGAAAATCCGTAAGGATTACATTAGAAGGCCTTAACGAAACTCGCTGGCCACTGCTGCTGCAGATTTTGTGAAATGTGTTGAGGGAAATTATGGATAGGGCAGACCCCGTGTCAAGTTTCATCGACAATGGCACTCCCTGCAATTTCACTTTAAGGGATAATTTCTTTTTAAGGGGTTTGTGTGTGCCTATTCTTAAAATGTTTCTGCGTGTTGCACAGAACCCCACCCTGTTTTGACTGGGCACCCTGGTACCTTTCAGATTCAATTCTTCCTTCGGTTGTACCTTCTGTCGACCCAGGCAGACTGCAGCGATGTGGCCTTTCTTTCCGCACGCTCGGCAAATGGCGGAACGGAACCGACATTCCGTTCGCTTGTGGCGACCACCGCATCCGAGGCAACGAAGCTCAGCTGGGCCCTTGTCCTGACGATCTTTGGACCTCCTTCCAGCTGCTTGGTAAAGCTTGTCCACCTCTTCTTCAGGATCTTCTTCCGAATCCTCTCGCACGTCTTCCTTGTGGATGGTGGCGGTCTCTGGAGTGCTTCGATTAGGCCGCATGTTCTTGACCGCCCCACCTGCAGCTTCTTCTGCTGAAACCTCTCGCAGAGCATCTTGGAAAGAGACATCTTCCTTAGCGAACAGCTTCTGCTGTAAGTCTCTGTTCCTCAGTCTGCACACAAAACGATCACGCAGTCTTTCCTCTAAGTCCTTGAAGTCACACGGTTTAGCTGCTCTTCTCAAAGCTGCAATGTATTCTTTTGCTGATTCCCCAGCTCACTGATCCCTCAGTTCAAATGTGTGCCTCCAAGCAATGACAGATTGCTTAGGCTGGAAGTGTTCCTTCAAAACTTTCTTCAGATCGGAGTATGACACCGTTTCCAGCGAGGCCGGGGCGAATAGGTTCTCGGTGATCTCAAAGGCGTCTTGCCCACAAACGCACAACATTGTGGCAGCCTTTAGGCCTTCCTCCATTATCTGGTTTACGCGGAAGTAAGTCTCGACTCTTGCAACATAAGATTCCCACTTCTTGGGGTGAGAGACATCGAATTCCGCTAAACGCCCAATTTTCGCCATGATCGAGGAACAGGGTTTTCTTCAGCCGCACGCACCCTCCAGCGATTCCGTACTGGCAGGATAAACGCTGACTTCAACGCCGTCGTTCCTCTTCAGGACTTCTTTGGGTGAGTCTTCAAGCTTCCCTAGCTATATAGACTGGATCCCACCTTCGTCGCCAGTGTTAAGTCCGGAGAATAATGGCGCTTGACACGATGCATTTCTAACAGGTCTTTATTCTCTGCTTCCAATCTATGAACAACCCGAGCAGAGGCACGCAGGCCTCTATTTATACCTTCTGATCCCCAGGCAATTCCAACCAATCACAAGGCGGTCTTTTCCCGCCTTGCGCATGTGCGCAAGGCCGGCGCCGCTCAGTCTGGTCCCGGGCAGCTTTTGCAAATGCCCGGGACTCTTGCAACGTCCCAAGCCTGCTTTTGCAGGCTCAGGACACAACAGATAGATACTATGTATGGTGTTTTTAAAAATTATTTTTTAACTTAAGTTACAATAATGAACATTTCCCATTATATCAGATACTGATATTTTTTGTTAAAAAGGAAAATATTTTATCTCAATAAAGAATTATGCGCCATGATTTTTAATTATAACTTTGTCCCATTAAAGAATGCATTAATACCAAATTGCCTGATCATACCATTTAATTTCAAAAACAGGTTTTACTAAGAAATTGAGACAAAGTTATTGATTATTTACCATAGTTTCGAGGTCTGCTTTTATCCATTAGCTTTGATTTCTGACAAAAAAGTCAGATTTAATGACTTGTTAAATAACATACATGCATTATTTAATCTATTTCTAGCAGTATCATTTTTCTTACTAACTTATTTCATTATTATTTCAGGATTTAATTGGAACTCCCAGTCTGTGATTTTCTTAATAATGTTTTTAAATCTGTAGATGATAAATGTCAACAGGGCAGTACAACTGTGATCCCTCACATATTCAAAGTGTCATGAGAGAATACTGAGAACTTGTACTCTGAAATC